GCATGACAGGCAGCAAAAGCCTACTACTTTAGCAATAAAATAATAAATAAATAAGAAAATACAGGCCCACTGCTGAGTGAGGCAATGACAAGTGACAGATGCTGAGTGCTGCTTTTGCCTGTCTTCACTGAAATGTTCTCCCAGATGTAAAGGAGCAGGGGAAATAACGGTAGTGGAAGAGGATTCAGCCAAGTATCTCCTGAAAAATTGCAACCCAAGCAAGTCTGTGGGACCTGATGGGATGCATCCTGAGAGAGCCAGCTGATGTCACCGTGGGGAACCTCTTATAATCATCAAAAGGTTGCGGAGTTAGGATGTTGCAGGCTAGGTGAGTGGAGAACTAGATGGGTGAAAAACTGGCTGGACTGTTGGGCTCAAAGGGTATTGGTTAATGGAACAATATGGGAAGTTGTAATAAAACAAAACAGAAGGTTCCAACTTGATATGAGAATAAACACTTTTAGAAATAAATTTCCAGAGTTTTAAAAAAAATACAGTGAAACAAACACATTATCCAATCAACAATGTTTTGCATTTTGCAGATTACCATTTTTGCCATACTATAGTTATGATACACTAACTGAACGCACACAAATGTCTTCAGAAGTAAGTCTTTCGTTATCATGGTGTACCTAGGTGTAAGTATCGAGTTTATAGAAATTGTTTTCAGTACCACAGTTGCACTATAAGGTATTGCTTAAAATTCTTGATTATGTACCACAATATTAGCGTTACCAGGAATAGATATCCTACTCTTGATTATGTAATCAAGAAAAACTTCTGAAAATAATATTCAGAGTACAAACTACTTTTAATCAGCTGCTAAATACCAAGATTCTGGTGCTGATTACTTCGTTGCTCTAATGACATCTGTAATGGATTCCAAGTGCTGTGCCTGATTGCTTCCCAGCTGATCAGGATTCTGTTCATCACTTCTAGCTGCTGGAATTCTGAGATTTCTTGGAGTTCCTTGCAAAAGGCTTCAACATTGCTTCAGCTAAATGGCTACAGTGCATGCTTTAAAACAGTCATCATAAACCTTACACTTAGTACTCCACGATAAAACATATTAAGAGAAGAGAGGAAGATCTGGGTGTGTCCCCCCCTTTTTATTGACAGACATTGATTGTAAAGCAGTATAATCCAAAGAACTTGATATGCATTGGCCAATGAATCATATAATATAGCTGAACTTCAGATGATCATAGCTTTCTTCAATAGCCATGCTGCCATAGTAACTATGATACACCTTCATTAATGCTGATGTTTTTGGTTTTAATATAGCTGATATACACACACGATTTAAAAGGCAATTTGAGACATTAAATAAGATACATGTACAAGCCAAATTCACAACTGTTAAACTTAAATCAATGTCTTGTCTCATGTCATTTTTGATTTTTGCCTACTGAAAAAATGAATTTTTAATCCTTCATTTTACTGAACTAACTTGATAAGGGAATTGACACAGCAATTATTCTTGGAGAGACTCCTCAGTGGAGAAGTATGAAATGATTGCAGTACCATTCTACCACAGACATGCATTACGTAGGTCTAAACATCTTTGGCTAGAACAGAGAAAATACTTAAATTACTCCAGGAAAAGAAATATTACTACTGGTCTTCAATTCTGCAAACATTTATATGTTCAAATTGTCTTAAAAGCTATTGGCTATAAAAATTCTTAGATTCTCTGTTTGCTCTTTTTCATTAATGTAGTATTGCCGAAAGACTTCTTACAATTTCAAATTTTTGTTGTAACAAATAATGAAAGTGCTGGCAAATTTCAGTATTACTCTTATAATTTTGAAATGGAACTATTTCTAAAATTTTTTAAGAGTTTAATCAGTTGCTGACAGCTTTTTATCTCATTGTGTCTTCACTTTAAGTTAGAATTGTTTAAATGGATTATGTAAAGTATGAAATCTCAAGCACAGTATTAGTGCTGGAATTAATGGAGAGAAACAGTGGAATGTAATGGCTCCTGCTTTTTATCTGAGTGCAGAAACACACCAGCAGTTCAAACACATACCCACATAAGAGAAGAAATTTAAGAATTCATTCCTCCTTGAGAAGGAAGTCACCTCAATCCCTAGAGTTTAGCATGGAATGTGGCAGAAAACTTGAGAATATGACTGCAGTACTTCCAAGTTTTCCAAAAACTTTCACTGCAAGGAATGTGGAAAGTTTTCATTTCTAACATCAGAGGATTTCTATTTTGATAAAAGAATATGCAGCAAATAGGTTCTTATAAGGCCAACATCTTGGCTCCTGCAACGTCTCATACAGTAACAGCTATTAACAAGCCAAACCAAAGAAATTGTCAATAAGTATCTTGAGAAGACATTTTTATAAGAGGATGTGAGTTATCTTGCTTTAAAATATCTTTTCTTTAAGTTTCTTTAACTTTTTTTGTGTTTTAAAGGAGCTTCTATTCCAGAAGCTAAGTAAGTGAGAGGAAAAGGTAGGAAAAAAATCCTTTGAAAAACTTATTATTTCACTTCCAAAATACACATTCATACAGTTTAAACTGAAGTGTTTTTTCAAATTCTTTTAAACACACAGATTTAGATTTATGTTCTGTGAAGTATTTTTCTGACTCTGCATTTCTGTCTCCCTTGCTGTATCACACATCTCCCTGCCCTTCTAGGCAACTAGCCAGAGAGTGCTAATCCACAGGTATCTGCACTGTAGAGCGATTCACTTTTATCTCTGTCATCAGTTTAGACAAAGACAAATGGCTGAATGTAAAATTGTACTTATATGTACAATTTAATTTTTAAATTGTACTTATATATTTACCAACTCACGGCACAGCAAGCCACCTGTATAAATACAAAGGCAGTAATGAAATAATTGTTCCAGTTGAATATTCTAAAATTCCTTTTAGTAGTACATTTCCTTAACTATTTTATATAACTACATGATAACACAGGCTTACAAAGTATTAAAGAACATAATTTCAATCAACAAGAAATTACTAGATGAATTAAAATATAGTGGTTCAAGTGAGGTAGTCACAGAAACATTTAGGCTGGAAAAGACCCTTAAGATCATCAAGTAATGAACTGCTCTTTCTTGCAGTTTCTTGGAAATTGCACTAGACAGCTTCAAATATTTATACAATGCACAGCACATACATCACACAATGTGAGTGATCTCAGCAGTACAATCTGTTCAGTTTCTTTTACATGTTTGTCAGCAAAATGAATATATGGTAATGTTTTACAAAACCCTGACAAGTTTGTATTTAAAATATTAGGGAAGTCTGAGACATACTTGAGTAAAAGGGATAATAATGACTAGAGAGATCCATTTCTAGAAAAAAACATAAAACCTGCCACACACAAGACTGTTACTTATTGTATCTAGCCAGTATCCAGTAGAAGTCAGAAGACTGCTGGCTCTCTGTAGTTGGCACTTATTCTCTATCAACAGAAAAGCCTTAGAATAACGTTATAGACAAAAGGACTCGGAAGTCTGCATTGTTTTATGAGCCTTTGAGCAATATCCAGGTAAAATGAAATTAACTTAGCTTCCTGGATTATTTAAATTTGTGAGTGAAAGATCCTTTTCAATAGGATATAGAACACCTATTATTTGTCCTGAATTTTCTTCCTCTTAACAAGGGATACTGAAGATAAAATATCTGGAACACTTACACAAATTAAAAGTCCTCATGAAAATACTTGTTAAAACTCTGCTATAGGAAGGCCAGATGATTCTTAGGAAGAGATTATCTTAGGAAGAGATTATTTTATGATTCTGGGTCAAACCTATACTTCCAAAATTAATGGAAGAACATAAACCAATAAAACAACTGTAAAATGCCAGACTTTACATTATGATCAAGATACTGAGTTTTTACACAGTAGATTCTATCAAGCTTAAATCTGTTGGTTTTTACACTTTCCCACTCTATCACTAAAATTGTGCTCCGGTCAAAAGAAAGTCTGTAGTGTATAAATGATGTCAATCAATTTGACTTGTCAATTTGACAGCTAAAGTTTTAAAATCCACTTTGCGGGACACTGAAGGAATTAGTGAAAGGTCTCTAACATGCTCAGAACCTTCCTGTGCAAACAAGAGGTGGGAAGCACCACTTCAGGTGCAAGTGGAGTGCAAAGCAAAGCGCAGCATAAAGCACACAGGACTCTATTTGCAAGCTCACTTGGGTGGATTGTTGTGCTGTCAGCTACATAGCTAAGGCTGTCTGCAGCTCTGCTTCTTATCAAGGCTAAGAAATGTAAGACACTGTGCTTAGATCTGCTTTTGAGACCACTTGTCAACTGGTAACATCACTTCTCCATTCACTTCCAAGAAGAGTATTTATCTTCTTAAAATAGAAAATCTGTTTTAAAGTTACAACTGTCAAACTTTGTAACCCACCTTTCTAGATGGTCTGTTGTTCTTCCTCTGACTGTACACAGAAACACACTGATCCCCAAGTCCCACAGCAACAGGACAGAATGCTAAAACGTGAATTTGCTGACTTTTAGCATTTTAAGAGTTTAAATATTGAAGCAGTTGAATTTATTGAGCATTAGAAAGCCAGAGAATTCTCTGAACTTCACCCACTTTAGGTACTCAAAAAGCTGTAGCTTTTTCTTGTTCTTTTCTTGGCATTGTTCTTCCCCAATGGCTAGAGTCCCTTTTTTGTCTTCTCAAAGCAATTTGTTTAGAAGAAAGAATTTTAATGTGTCTTCTTAGGACATTTATTTCAAAGAAAATTTCCTCAGGCTCACTGAAAGAAAAAGCAACTAACTAAGAAAAGTATACCCCTAAAATGAATGATACAGGAAGTCAGATGAAGAAATCAGAGTAACGTCTCAAGAATCATCTACAAAGCACACTTTTTTCCCCAAACACCAAAACAGCAGCATACCAAATCCTATGAAGGACTATTATGAAGTCAAGGAAATTAAATTAGCCTTGTTGCCAATCTGAAGTATAAAGAAAATGGAGTTACAATCCCCATTCTACACTTTTAATTGCTCTACCTGGCATTCCATGGATGAGGTCTCCGCACAACACAAAGAACTTGGGTTTAGGGATTAGTTTGTTAATGGCCTGCACTGCTTGTTCTGCTAATTTGATTTCTTCTCCCCATTCATCATCTCCATTGTTAGTGTCTCCAACTGCCCAAGCTTTCATCAGTCCAAACTGAGGATCTGCTCCTTGGATGAAGTAGAAGGGCCCCTTCCATTGGTACTCATCATCTAAGAAGAAGAAAGAGGGGGGAAAAAAAAAAGTTAAGCACTACAGAAACTTATAAAGATACTGCTCTTCACCTAAGTAAGTTGACGCCGCTTTAATGAAAGTACAGAATTCTGTAGTCATTTTTATAGGACAAATATAAAGGCAGAAGCACAAAATTTTCCTCTAATGGTTAGCTGCAATAAATGAAAGTATATTAATCTAATTATACCACATGGTAATTACAGACTGATTAGCGGAAAAGTCTGTGAAGAATTCAGCAAATAGTGCTGGAAATTACAAGACTACAACATAGCACAAGTGTGTAACATTAGATTTCAGTTGATTCTTTTAAGGCGCCAATTATTGCTTCTTTCATTAACAAGTTAAAACATACACAACACATTTCACATTTTATGGTTCCAGTAGACTTGTCCTTAAATTATTAAGGAGTTAAATGCTCTTTGTTCTTATACTTTTAGAGAGAAGTTGGATGTAGCACATTCTTTGGAGTTAGAAGCCACTCAACAGGACCAAGGTCAGCAAACACAAAATCCAGCAACATCAGAATTAGCAGCAATAATGAAAATCCTAATTTAGAACTGACACAATAGCTCCTGAGACCTATGATAAAAAGGTGAGAACTCAGAAACAAATTTCCATTGGTAGAGTCAGTACAGACAGAGGGTACAACAGAATTTGTACTGCTACAATTTTCTTGTACACTTGTTTCTCTGATACTGTAATAACAAGTACCACAAAAGAAGCATGATACATATGACTCCAAGCACATTAAGAAAAAAAAAAATCTCAACACTGGGCAAATAAAGCAACAGTTGGCTACAAATTAAAAACAAAAATGAGTACCTTGTTTCCTAGACTCATGTCTCAAGTTGGAATTAAAGTACAAACGTGAGTACACTGTGGTTTCTCCAGCTGTCTAAAGGCATTCATTTGCAACCTGAATATTTCAGTTTTGACAGCAGTATTTGGCTTAATACATTTAGTGTTATTGGGGTTTTTTTTAAACAGCACTTAAACAGTTAAAAACTCACTGACTACATTATTCTATAGTTTAATCTAACAAAAAAGATACAGAAAATTATTTCAAATTAAAATATAATCCAGAAATATACCTCCATATTATGTCAGTCTGATCTGAAAGACAGTTTGAGGCAAAACTAATCTTCCAATAACAGTACATAAGCAAGTAGGATGTCCACCACATGGATTTACTTTTGGTTTTCTTTCAAGTGATCTAGAACTGGAGGGTATGTTTCTTTCAAGGAAGGTTAGAAAACAGAGGTCAGAATTCATCCCTTGCACCATGGATATGGATAGGCTGGGGTAGGGGAGAAGGAATGTGGGCAACTCCCGAAAGCTGCTTGTAATTGTCATCTGTTGCTATGGCATCAGATCATTTTGCCAAATGCAAGCTTCTACATTTTAGTTAAAGTGACATTTAATTTCTAAACAAAATTATTTATAGTCTGTTAACATTGTCTGTTAATTCATACCAGCATTGACTTGTTCTAAATAATAACTGCATATTTTATAGATAAAAACTTTCAGCCATTTGTTAGCTTTTAATTCTGAAATGAAATTAACTTTTCCAATTACATCACTTATTCAGAGACGTGAAATGATCCATCTATCCGTGAGTTTGCAATAGAAGCCTTATGGAACCAGCTGAATGACACGAAGTAATTTAGGTTTTTATTTTGCATCTTGCATGGCAAAATATGACTGCCATAAAAAACAGCTTACGTGCTGCATCAAAGGCATTGTTTGTGCAGAGAAATCAACATAGTTTTTATAAGGGGAAAGCTATAGAAAAAACAGTTAAGGAAGCTTGCATCAGAAATCCTTTATGACCTATACAAAATAAAACTGAAAAAAGGAAAAGTCTGAACCAGGAACTTGTTTTGGAGGAGTGGCACAATCCTCAAACTCATTAAATGGGAAAAAAGCTCAAGTCTTTGAACAATGCGGCAGGATTTTTAACACCTGTCCATTTTCCAGCAACTCGGTAGACGGTATTGACAATCAATGCTGGGTAAAATCTACTTGTTTGGTATCGATTAATCTGAAGCCAGTAATTTTTACCATAGTACCCTACGTAAAACATACAGACATTTACCTGCTTATTTTTACAGGAAATAGAAACTTAGAGAAGACAGCTAGTCTTTGTTTTAAAAGACTGTGTTTCAATTACGGACATACTGTGTTTTCCTTTCCAGAGCCCCAGGGATGGCGTCTGGTGGCCAAAGGCAGCTGGAGCACCTGCAGCAGGCCAGGTAGCTGTCAGGCAGGCTGCTGGCACGGGCAGCGGGACTGGGCCAGGTCCCAGGTAACAAGGAGCTTCACAAATAATGCTTGAGCAGAGAGAAGCCTGGCAAGCAGACAACGCACAGTCAGGGAGCATGCAGAGCTGATGCAAAACAGGTTGCAAGGCCAGACCAGGGGCTATTCTAATATATGCTTCATGGATATGGCTTTTTCCTGCCTTATATTCATGTCAACACAGTAGCTCTCTAGGTTTTAAGTACCTGAATGTTTCCAAGACTGTGCACAGATGCTCTGGTTTGAGTGGGTGAGTGACGGTCATGTGAGGCAGAGAGAGAGACGCTGGCAAGATGAATTTGAAAAGGGTTCAGTACACAGACAGAATCAAGATGTGGCAGAAGAAAGGAGAAACATAAGATGCAGGGGTGGAGGTGAGGAAGAGTGGGGAGAAAAGGAAAGAGATAAGAGGTGAAAAGAGAAAGGAACTGAAAATGACGCAGAGGTATATGCAATATTCTCCTGTAGGAAAGAAAAAGATAAAACGAAGAAAGCGAAGCAGGGACAACAGAAAAGATCCAGGAATCGGGGCTACATAAATAACACTTACTCAAAATGTCAGTTTAATTAACTGATCTTAGCCAAATAATTCAGTCAACAGCTATTTTTGTGGTATTTGACAATTTATCAAATAGTTACAAAAAATATCAGTATGTTTGAATAAATGTTTTCTACGTTTGTATTTGATCACTCCAACTAGAAACCCTATTTAAAAACAAATAAACCTAGTACTTAAACCAAATTCCATTAGCTTACTGCTTATCAAGTGGTACTTACTTAGTTTGGTACTTACTGATTTTGTTCCCTATGAAACAAAATAATATATGGACACTCAGTTTAAACTTACAACTTAAGTTTTTGTTTATCAGGAACGTGTTTCAATTACTACAAAGTACTATAAATAAAAGCAGAATATCATGAATAGAGTTGTATTGGTACAACACCACCAGCGCAAACTTGCACCTCCACCAACTCTTAAGCCTGTTCGGAGTTCAGCTCATCCAGGAAATAACTTTTAATTGCCCTCACTGGTCTGTCTGCAGAGTTCACGGAAGTTTTTCTTTATCTGTGCAAGGCATAACATCAGCCCAGCTAAAGTTTAAAGTTGCAACTAGTGCAATTTGGCTAATTTTACTTAAAACTCCAGGAGCACGCCTGCACGAGTGCTCTTTCAACAGACCAGTACGTTGAGGGTAGCGATGAGAAACAGAATGTAAAAGCATCTTCCACTACCATAGATGGATCCCAAAGTCTTTTGCCTAACAATTAAATGATTTATCAATGGACTATGTTCAAATAATGATTAACAGAACTTCTGTACCGTACCTCTCTCCCTCACCAGCTGCTTGTTAGCACCCTCAAGCAGAACAGATACTGTAGGCCATGCAAATGAACCTCGTCTGCTTATGCAGTAAGTCACGCATCACAAAAACTGTTTGAACCATGTTTTTTTGACTTTGCATCAAATCATAAAAAGGGTGCTCAGACAAATCATTCTGTTGCTATGCTAGGGGAATGCCAGAGTCTGGCAGAGGGTTAGTAACAAACAGCATTGGCCACAAGTGGTGGGAGGGGGAACAGCTGTTTTTGCAGTGATCATCTAGTCATGATCCAGGTCCTAGATGTTACTCCATAAGGTTTCAATTAAACAACACGTACAGTTGCTTTCTTCCCTTCAAACGTAGCAAGCAACGACTTTTATGGGAATGACATCAAAAGGCATCCTTCTTGCTAGGAGTTTCAATTTTCAAGCCTTTAGATGAGCTATGTAGTTGTATTAGAGAAAGTGCATGCTAGCTAAAGCAATAGAAGATTAGGATTCAATTAATAAACAGGTTTTTCTGCCTTCTCCCTTGCATCGCAATATTGAGCAGAGCTGAGAACACCTGCAAATTAGCTCTTCATCCCTATAGGCGCAGAGGCTGTTTGCAACTTTCTGAAATTACTACAGCAATAAGAAAACGCAAATGCCAGACAAAAGACAGCAGATTTCTCAGATGACTGATGTACATACCGTTTCCATTTCTGAAGGACAAATAATGCCTGTGGAGCTGCTCTTACACACAGAGCCACACAAAACTCCTATTCCAAATTCATTTTGTTCCCAGGCCTCCTTAAGAGCTGCACAGCTGATTGCCACGGAAGAAGTCCAACTTCAGAACATGTTGGTATGCCTCAGTTTCGATAGCTTCCCACTCTTATTCTGCTCCCATGCATGCCAAAGTACAGAGAGAGGATCAATGCAATGTATTTTTAGTAGTATAGGCTGAAAAATGGTGCCAGCTTCTAATTTTATCTAAGGATTAATTCTGTGAAGGGCCAAAGTAGTCAGCAACAATTCACAAGAGAGAACCTCAGCCATGTGTTGTGATTGCACACAAAAAGACACTTGAAGGACCTAAGTGAGACTTAAGTCAAAGCTCCCCATTTCTAGAGGACAATAGCTAATATCCTGCCATACCTTCATTTCTTCCCCTTTTGCTTTTCCTAATTTCTCCTCCCTTTTATTCCCCCCTCTCCAAGGATCACAAACGCATATATAGAGATTGCTCATATAAACCACTGCAAGCTGGCCTCCGACAGCTGCACAGTACTGGTGAGATTTCCAGTACTTCCCTGGTGGGATTTTTTTAAAAGTATATTGGTCGGTTTCAACAGTACATTGGTCATCTTCTTCCTC